TACGTGGTCATTTTATAAAGGATAAATGAATTGAAATCGTTTGAGGGAATTTGAAAATGAATCACAAACCCAAACAAATAGAAAACGATTTAGAAGTGAATAAATTGAGAAATTGAGAGATTGAGAGATGCAAATCTTCCCAAAAACTTTTGTCAATTCCTCGAAATGAATTCTTTGTCCTTCCTTTTTCTCGTCGTTTTTCTCCACGGAATCTCCGCTGATTTCTCGTGTTTTTTCGGGGATTTCATTTGCAAGAAAATCTCTTGCAACGTGGGTTTTTTTTTTATTAAGTAGTCTGTTTTTAAATGTAATTTAAAATGAATCCATTGGGTTGGTGAATTGAAAACTGCCGGCTATCATCATATGTGACAGTCTGAGCACTTTCTTCAAAAGAAACCCATTTTGGTGCCAATGGAAAAGTTGTAGAGAATCAAAAATCAAGCTTATATGCAAATTTTCAGAACGCTTCAAAAACTGGTTTTCAAGAAATGCCAAATTTACGAATTTTGGCGGTGGGACAAATGCTACCTTTTTTTGCGCACCTTTTTTTTGCTGGAAAAGACCTTAGGAAAGGTCGTAGAGCTTCAAAAATGTTTCCATACTAGGGAATCGTATGCGTAGATTCCGAATTTCGACAAATCAGACCTCGCTGACACGTCAAATTTGGGCTAAAAGGCAAAAACTACGCAACTTAACGCTTTTCCGCAGTTTTTGCCTTTTAGCCCAAATTTGACTAAACCATATTGGAACCGCATCTGAACCATATTGGAACCATATTCGAAGCTCTACGGCCTTGCCTAAGGCCTTTTCCAGCAAAAAAAGGTGCGCAAATGTCCAGGTGCGCAAAAAAAAGGGGGCATTTATCCCACCCCCCGAATTTTCACAAATGAAATGACCGAAAAGAAGGGGGAGGGGAGGGGGGGGGGGAGGTTACGGTATCTGTCTGTCTTTCTGTCTGCCTTACTGTACGGGCATTTTTCCAGCCGTATTTTGACCAATATTTCATTTTGGTTTTCAAGAAATGCCAAATTTACGAATTTTCACAAAACTTGCATTTGAAGCGAAACTACTAAGTGTATCTTTTAGGAAATTTGGCTATAAGTCTAATTTTTGATTTCTCTACAACTTTTCTATTGACACCAAAATGGGTTTCTTTTGAAGAAAGTCCTCAAACTGGGACATGTCCAGTCCTCCATTTTTGAGTCTCACACTTGTCTCACACACAAACCAAAATCCTACTACGAAAGAGGAATCCGCAAATTGCCTGTAAAATGGGCAGAAGTCGTCAATAATAATGGAAGTTATTTGGAATGAATTTATGGTTTTATGTTGAATAAATTTTAGTTCAAAGTCCCGCAGGTTTCCATTCACCAACCCAATATATTTAAATGATTTTAGGACAAAATCTTTTCAATGTGCATCAACAATAATTGCATTTGTGGGCTCTCCATTAATGGTTTCGGCATTTCGAATTAACAATCGCGAAATGCATCTTCATATTTGGAGTTTAATAAAACGATTTTTAAATTTATTGAATCCGTTCCGTCGACACCCAAACATATTTTTTGTGCTCAAATTTCGCACGGTTCATGACGTCAACAAAAATTTCAGTACTCAGTATCTTTTCAGTATCTTTTGCGGTTAAAATGAACTTTAACACTAATAACATACTGTAAACTTGATAAAATGAACTATAAGTTGAAAAAATTGAACTTTAACACTAATAACATACTGCTTGACTCTTGAATGTCGACGTATATAATTTGTGCATTTGATGGAAGTCCCCTCTCATCACCCAAGAAACGATCGTCGATTGAGAATTCTTTGCCTTTCTTCAGAAAAGCCACATATTCTGAGTGCTTTTCAAGGGAAATCTCGAGCTGAAGCATTATGCTTTCGTTGCTTTGGTTGCTTTGGTTGCTTTGGTTGCTTTGGTTGCTTTGATTGCTTTGGTTGCTTGCTTGCTTGCTTATGCTTTGGTTGGCTATGAACAAATCCCAACTTGATCGATAACTTTGTTTAACTTCAATTGTTTAACTGTTTAACTTCGATAACTTCAATTTTCTTTCTGTTTGGCTTCAGTTTATTTTGTCTAAAAAAAGCAATTTTGTGTCTATGCGAATCATTGAAACAGTCTAAATTCTTGAGAAAGAAGTTCATTTTTTTATTTTCTTGCCCTTAAATTTTATGAAATCCGTAAAATACCACATGAGCTAACAGATTTTTGAGCCATTTTCCAGCTCTATAGCACTTGATTGAAAGCTTTTATGCAGAAAAGAAATTTTAAAAAGGGCTGCTACGCAGGAGTACGCGATCATACTCTTTACCCGGTCTTCTATTCGAAGAAATACGGTAGATCTTTTTTCCATTTGTGGTCGCTTGTGGTTTTAGTTTTCTCAAATAGGTGCCTTTTAGCTGAGGTGTCGGATGAGTGACGATCTTGTTTTTCTCCAAGCCTCCAAGGGTTTACAAATTTTTGGAGACACTGCAAAGTCTTTACCCGGTCTTCTATTCGAAGAAATAGAATAGAAGATTCTTTAAAAAATAGATTCTTCTATTCGAAGAAATAGAATGATGGGTTGCCTTCTATTCGAAGAATAGAAGGCAAATCACTCTAGCCGGGTGATTTTTATTCCTTTTATAATAAAATCAGCGATATTAAAATAAAAAACAGGTGGTTGCCGTAAAAAAATTTTTATCGTCACCCGGCCGCGATTAATACCCCCCTTTAAGCAAAAAGGCGTTAAGCAAAAAGGCGTTAAGCAAAAAGGCGTTAAGCAAAAAGGCGTTAAGCAAAAAGGCGTTAAGCAAAAAGGCGTTAAGCAAAAAGGCGTTAAGCAAAAAGGCATTAACCAAAATTCGTCATCATTTCATTTCAATTTTCTTTCTGTTTGGCTTCAGTTTATTTTGTCTAAAAAAAGCAATTTTGTGTCTATGCGAATCATTGAAACAGTCTAAACTCTTGAGAAAGAAGTCCATTTTTTTATTTTCTTGCCCTTAAATTTAAAATTTATGTCAAAAATCAAAATTTATGTCATTTAGTCAAAAAAATATTTTCTTTTTCTTAATTTACTGTTATTGAATCTGAGCTTTTTCGATTCAAATATTGAAAATATTGAAACATTTATCTTGAACTTCTACTTTTTAATTATTCAATGATTTAGTGCTTCTTATTTGAACCTTTTTGTTGTTTTTGAGAAAAATCGCAAAGTACAGGATGCGCCATAATTGCCGCAACAAGATAAAGTTCTGATTTTAAGGCAGACAAGAGCAAAAAAACGACAAAAAAACGACAATTTTTAACTCAATCACATTTATTGTATCATAACAATTATAACGGCTCGCACGCGTTTCGGGAAGGCGTCAACGGCGTCAACGGCGTCAACGGGAAGGCGTCAACGGTGGCGACCATCAGCCGACCAAATAAGCTGCATCGAGCTCTTTCCACCCTTTCAACAGTGATTTCTTCAAGCTTTTGATGTTTTTGTGGGGCTTTGAACAAGCTTTGGCTTCTAGAACCGATCATTTTGCTGGTTAAGAAGACCTTCAACGGTAAATATCTTTTCATCTGTGTGCAAGATATTGTGCTGGTCGATTCCATTGAAGCACATCAATAACTGATCTGCTCTGATCAATTGATCAACGGTGACGACCAAATAGACTGCATCGAGCTCTTCTCACGCTTTCAACAGTGATTTCTTCAAGCTTTCGATGTTTTTGTGAAGATTTGAACAAGCTTTGGCTTCTAAAACCGAAAACACTGAAAAATCCATTGAGTTGAGATATTGTGATGGTCGATTCCATTAAAGCGCATCAATAACTGATCTGCTCTCAATTTTCGCTTGTTTTTAGCGGAAAGAAGCTGAGCCTTCATTTTTCTTGTAAGCATTAAGTTTGAGATTATTTTCGAGGGTCCAACGCAATGAGGTGCTTGAAATCGCCATCTTCTTTGCCATTTGCCTTGCCAACTGATTTGGCTTTGTCCAAATTCAGTCCCTCACTCGCTTGATGTTTGTCTTTGTGATAACAGTTGGGCGTCTATCGCTTCTTGGTGCATCAGCAATTGTTCGTCTACTTCGTAGTGCATCAGCAATTGTTCCCATAGCTTCGTAGCGTTGAATAGTGTGGAAAATGATACTTCTGTCGACGCTTATGAATCTCCGGTGCCGAGACTCCTCGCTTGTGCAATTCGATTGTCGATTCGATTGGCAATTCGATGAGGATTTTCCAGCCATTCTAAAAAACAGCACATTTTATATGAAAAAAGTTTCAATTATATTCCAAATATAATAAAAACACAAAAAACAACAGAAATGAAGCTTAAATCAACGAGTAATAACTCGTTGATTTAAACTTTTAAGCATATAACTTTATCCGTGAACACGCGTGGTACCTTGTTGCGAAAATTATGGCGTACCCTGTACTGACGCATTCAGAAATGTTGTTCAAAGCCTCGATCTTGTTGATCTTGTTGGCTTTCGTGAAAACAGGTTTGATTGGATCACAGGATTCAATTTTTGTTTTATTTAGCACACTTATCTTCCACAAAAGATTATCCGAATGTGCAGTGCTTGGTCAAAAGATATGTTTACAATCTTGAATGTCCTACTCCATTGGATGTTAAAGAAATGTGCAAGTGAGAAAAAGATTAGATGAAAATTTAAATCTACCGTAAATACTGTAATAGTACCCCACCCCCATAATGACGATGCGGAGTGTTGCGTAGTCTAGCTAGCTTTGAACGAGTTTTTCTCGACACTGGTTTATGCTACAATGTTCGTTTAGGTATCAAAAATAGCCCTGCATTTCAGCTATTTTTTGATACCTGATACCTAAACGAACATTGTAGCATAAACCAGTGTTGAGAAAAACTCGTTCAAAGCCAGACTACGTTCAAAACTTTTGCGACTACGCGACTGTACGAGGAGGGTGGGGTACTATTAAAGTATTTACGGTAATAATTCTTTATACTTTTCCAAATATTCAGTGAAACCGAAGTGATGTTAAAGGCTGATTTTGAGGACGCTCGAATCTTTGGAGCTCGAGTTGCGGCCATGCTTTGTGATGGACAGGATTCTGATGAAGGTAAATACGAAAAAGATACTAAAAGTAAAAAGATACTAGTAAAAGCTAAATTCAAACGGCATTTAGTCTTTAGTCTTCAAAATTTAGTCTTCAAAACTCTCGAATGCACACAAGAAGGGAAGAATCGGAAGGAATTCGTAAATAAATGTGGCAGAATGAATTTGAGAAGCACGGACTGTGGGAAATTCGCGGAACAAGCCAGGTTTGGCTTTAAAGGCTTAATAAAGCCATTAATAAGGCCAGGTTTTGCTTTAAAGCCATTAATAAAGCCAGGTTTGGCTTAATTCTTCAAAAAAGGAAGTTAAATTTAGATTTTAAACATTTAAATTACATTTAAAACAAAGAAATTTCAGTTGTGCAATTGACGTGTTGAATTGTGGAAATGAGAAGGTGGTGAAATTCTTGACCGAGGTAACTTTAATTTAATTTTATTTCATTTCATTTCATTTCTAATTTAACAATTGTTTTTTGAAAATTAAAGGTTTTTAAACTAAATCTGGCTTGTTTCGCAATTTTCCCGCAATGTTTTTAAAATTGATTTTGAGGGTCTATCCCAAAACAGTGCCACCAAAACAACGCCGCCAAAACAATGCCGCCAAAACAGTGCCACCCAAAAAAGCACCACCCAAAATAGCGCCAATGAAAAAACACCCAAAACAGCGCCGATGCAAAACAAAGTTTTTTTTTTCTTTTACAATGTACAATTCATTTTTTTTTGTTAGCAGCTTTTAATTTTGATAATTTATTTAAAAATAACATGACCAACAACAATAAACGATAACAATTAAACGATGCATAAAAAACATTAAAATAGCATCAAATTAATAGTCCAAGAGACTCGGAAACATCATAACACCAGCGATGATGAACATAAACGGCTAGAGCTTTCAATTGATCCGTAGTAGAAACTAAAAAGTTGGTGAAAACGTTAAAAAACAGGCCGTAAAAGGAAAAATTTTTATTTTTGTTATTTTTATTGTTATTTTTAGTTAAAATCACTTTAATAAACGCTATCGCAGGTTTCTATGCGCCAAAATAGCGCCGACCAAAACCGCGCCACCCAAAACAGAATCCGACTTTTTTAACCCTAAAAACACAAAAAGTGGATAGAAAAAGTTAAAAACAGCAAAGAAAAAGCAAAAGCAAAAATCTGAAAAATAATTGTTTTTGCTCGTCGCTGTTTTGGGTTTTGGCATTGGTGCTGTTTTGGGTGGCGCTTGGTCGGCGCTATTTTGGCGGTGCTATTTTAGCTACGGCGCTATTTTAGGTACGGCGCTGTTTTAGGTACGGCACTATTTTGGCGGCGCTATTTTAGGTACGGCGCTATTTTAGGTACGGCGCTGTTTTAGGTACGGCACTATTTTAGGTACGGCGCTGTTTTGGCGGCGCTATTTTAGGTACGGCGCTGTTTTGGCGGCGCTATTTTGGCGGCGCTGTTTTGGGATAGACCCGATTTTGATCTGATTTCTCTAAAAGTCACGTTGAAAAGTTTCATTCAGGCTTTCATCAACGACGATGATCATCGTGATCTTTTCAATTGTCGCGAAGAAATCGCAAAAGAAATCGGTATCCAAGTTTGGTGAACGGATTTCAAACAAACAACAAACAAAATTGCCTTTCAATAAATATTTGTTGCAATTTTATTTAGAACCAGCCGAAAAACCCGCTGTTAACAGCGGTTTTTGAATGTTTTTCACTGACTTGTAGGTTTGATCCCTCGAGTTAAAGGACGCTCGGCGCGACTAACGCCACGCCTCGCGCCCTGCAACAATACTGGGATCTATCTCTTCGTCTTTCAAAGCAATATCGGAACCAATTCTGATACCCACCTGATTCCCACCTGATTCCCACCCGATACCCACCTGATACCCACTGGATGCGCTCGGCGCGATTAACGTCACAATGTCGCGCCTCCCCCCTCCGAGGCCCCTGTAATAATACCTTCGTCCTGAGGCAACCCAAATTTGCATACTTCAACTCCATGCTTGAAATTTAGCAATCTAAAGCAAAAAATTTAGAAACGGACGGGAATTGAACCCGACACTCCCTTGAGGCCGTTTTGTAGACGGAACGCTAACCACCCCGCCTTTCCCCAGCCCCCGCCCCGCCGAAGGCAAAAAGGGCCAAGGCTAAGTGGTACTTTTTTTATGGGTTTTTATATATTATATTAACAATCAATTTAGCGTGGCCGAAAACCCTAGAAAAATTGTTTTAAGCACTTGTCAGAGGCATTCTTGAGGCTGCGCCCACCTGACCCCACCTGCGCCTTCCCCTCAACCCGTATAGCCCCCGTCTTTCTTCTCTTTCTTGCGCACATCTAACTCATTTTGTAGCAAGTCAAAGATTTTTATTCATTTTGACTCACATATCCTCGATTTGCGTTCTCATTGCATTGAGCGTCGCAATCCGTGTGAAATTTGCAATGAGAATTACAGGGTGATCAGAAATAACCCGGACAAACGTTTGCACCGTTATTTTAAGAAGCAATAAGGCATAATAAAATTTATCAATTAACACAAATAAAGGTCTAAGGGTAACAGCTCAACAGTCGTGTTCAAAATGGCTTCCTTTGTTTTTGACGCAGAGCTTCAGACGCTTGATGAAATGGTCAGCAATGGGCCGCAACTCTGCCGCGGTTATCTTGTCCCAGCCCCGGGATCAGCGCTCGCTTCAGAGACTCCAAACTTCTGTGAGGCTTAGCACAAGCCCTTGACTCCAAAATCGACCAAACACTATAGTTCAATGGGTTCAGATCACACGAGTAGGGAGACCAATGCCGAGATGAAGTCCGGAAAGTTGTCCTTACACCACTTCTGGGTAGCTTTTGCTCGGTGGGAGGGCGCGGAGTCCTGTTGGAACGTCCAAAATTGTCAAATTTGATTGCCGAAATGTTGTTGTGCCCAGGGAAGAACCACCTTTGCGCCATTAAGATGCTTTCGCGCCATTGAGGTCTCTTGGCGCCATTGAGGTGCCTTTGCGCCATTAAGGTGCCTTTGCGCCATTAAGATGCCTTCGCGCCATTAAGATACCTTCGCGCCATTGAGGTGCTTCACACAAAAATAAAGGAACAAACTTTACTTAAGGAACAAAAAAACAATGCATTTTATAGTGAAGCTATTCTGAATAATCTCTGAATGTTTTGTGATTGTTTTATGAATAAAAGTTAAATGAAAGATTTTATGATGCTAAGAAATCTTTGTTTTTTATTGTCAACTACTGTAAAACGAATAGAGCATTTTATCTTAATAAACAAGGTTGAAAACGATATCTTATGTTCATAACAAAGATTTATTTTCTATCATATCGTCCCCTTCCCGATTGTCCGTTCCATCCACCACCAGAGCCGATTCGACCGAATTGCTGTTTTGCGCGCCGGAACTCATCTCCATTTCCACTGACAATCCCTTGAACTCCATGCCAGACACCGTGCGAGAAGGGACGACCTAATTTGTCCCAAGCAGCAATTCCTCCAAAATTTCGATCAGCCCTTTCGTTCAATCGGAGACCCCAATCCGGGCGTTGCTCTAGGTTCAGTTTACGCTGAAAGAAATGTTGATTACAATATTTGGAAATTTAAGTTTAGAGGTCGAAATTTAAGTTTAAATTTTGAAATTTAAGTTTAGAGTTCGAAATTTAATTTTACAGTAATCAATATCGATTTTTTAGATTGTAAACTTTTTAAAAAAGATTCATTTAATTTGTTTTTCAAGTTTCCAGATTTCAAATCAAATTTTGAAAAAATCCCAAACAACAAACTTTTTTTGCAAAAGTCGATTCAGCCAGCAAAACAACAGTCAGTAATAATATTCCCCATGTTGAGATCATCTTTGGTTGAGGTTTTAGTTGAGGAAGTGGATGAGCTCCCTAACTCAAATCATCCTTTTATATTTTCGACTTAAAAGAGTCTCCACATTCGTAATGTTGGCTACTGCGAGCAGCTGTCTTTGTTAAGACTTTGTTCGATTCTATTTTGTGCGATTTTCACTACGGAAGTCTTTTCGAGATTTCTTTAGACCAAAATAATCAAATCAACTCAATCAAATGAAAAAAAATTATTCAAAAAGAAGTTAAAATGGTTCTTTTCCGTTATACATCCGCAAAATTTGCATCCTTTCATGAAAATGAACAAGGAAAACCACAGAAAATTCATTCTTTTGCTATTGGGTTGATGCATAATTATCCGGACTTCTTTTATAAATGATTTTATTTAACAAAAAATAACATAAATAGTTAGAAAAATATGTTTAATTGATTATTCTGGAGCATATTCACCGCCTACATCAATAACTGATTGCCATTTGCTTGGAAGACGATCGATTCCACGAGCGAAGAATAAACGATCTTTGGAGGCAATCCACGCTTTAACATCGTCTATCAAGTCATCCAAATCGTTGTAGATCTTATTTGTTTGCCAATTTTTGAGCGATCGATTGACGTGGTAGTCCGTTGGGGCTTCTCCAGTTCTTTGAGATCGCGAAACGACTCTGCGGCAGACCATCCCTTTTCGAAGTGGTAGAGCATGATATGGCGAAGATGGATATGATTGTCGACACGCATTTTGTTCACTAAAGAATAACGAATATTTAAAAAAAAGAAATAGACAAAAAGCTTTCAAAACAAAAAAGATACAAGCACGCAAAAAGAAGTCCGGATAATTATGCATCAACCCAATATTTTCTGACGGCCCGGTGGATTCATTTTTCGCTTATCGACTATCGAGGCCGATACAATCTTGTTCTTTCAAATGCATTTTGCTTACTACTCGCACATGCGCTAACTATCACTTTATGAAGCTATCACTCAATCAGAATCCTCGATAGTGATGTGACAAAACGTTGTGCCGAACAGCGATCGGCCTGCGTGTTGGCTCATGGATGGAGGGAACGAAAATTCCGTTTCTCACAATCCTACGATTCATCTATGGATGGACTCAACGGACCTCGATCTAACGGTGGACCTCGATCGACGTTTCTTCAATTGAATGTCCCACTGGATCCGTTTAATTTCTGAATGGAGAGAGATGTCTATCGACAAATCTCGAAAGGTTTCTGAAAACATTTAGCTAAAGATTCTTTTTTAGGCAGAGATTACCCAACCGCTGAATATTAGTGCAATCTGGCTGGCTTTCAATTAATGAGAATCGAGTATCGCTCAACTTTTGCCTTTTCAAACTTGGCTTTGCGCTCGACCAGCGATTGCGCTGATCGATCTTGCTCCAAGAGGTAACGCTAATTTTGATAGCACTAAAAATTAACAGTTTTAGAAAGATTAAAAAAATTTACCTCATCACGTTCTTCATCGTCGAGAGCTTGCTCATCTTTAGATCTTTAGAGCTTGCTCATCTTTAGATCTTTAGAGCTTGCTCATCTTTAGATCTTTAGAGCTTGCTCATCTTTAGACCTTTAGAGCTTGCTCATCTTTAGATCTTTAGAGCTTGCTCATCTTTAGATCTTTAGAGCTTGCTCATCTTTAGATGAGCAAGTTCACGGATCTTTAGATGAACGGATGAACAAATTTGTTGCACAATTTATTTTTGAATTGGGCTTATCATTCAACCTTTTGGAGCAAGATTCATTCCGAAAAATGATTGGCTTTCTAGTGTATATGGTCGGTATGTTTTAGTTGTTTTACTAAATGAAACTTTTTAGAAGAGAAGAATTTAATAAACAAGAAGTGCTCACAAAGTTATTTCGTCGCAAAGGCGCACGGAATCAATGCATGGCACATTGTTCAATCAAATCGGTAACATTGTTCAATCAAATAAAGGAGCATGCTCCTTTATTTCATTGAACAATGCTCGAGCAGGTATTTTATTTAACTTTTATTTGATTCTAATTCTAATTCTAATTTGTTTAGATGCAACAAGCGCTTGAAGAAGAAAAGGGTGTGTGCTAATCGTTAATCGATGTTAATCAATGTTTCGTCTTTGCATTCAGAAAATTATTTGGGTAAAATTTAATTACTATGTAACCTTAACTTGCTTTACATTTTAGGGCTAATGTTTCTTTTTGCCGACCTCGAGGAGCAATCATTTAGACGAAAAGTCTTGCCGATCGGTTTTGAAAGAACCGCAAAGGAGGTTAAAGACTCTTCAGAGACTACAAAGGAGGTTAAAGTTTAAATTGTTAATTCGTTATCCTTGTTTTAGATGAATGCACTGATTGAATTGATTGATTGAATGGTTTGCAACTTATGGATACACCGAAGATCAATTGAAGAAATTGCCGCAAACGCATATCATTGTTCTAGCTTCTCGATTATCTATTGGTTGTAACAAAAAAAGACGAGCAACAACAAATTCGAACTCATCAGTAACTACACGCAGACTATTGATCAATTTGGAGGAGTATGTGTTTCTTTTTGATTACCCTAAAGTCGCGAGTATAAGTTCATCCGAGTATAAGTTCTGTAATTTACATTTAAAGGGCATTTAAAGGGATGGAAAATTTTCTTCTTTCTTTAATTTTTATTGTTTTTTTTTTTTTTTTTTATTTTACTAACGTTTTTTCATTTTAGATACGATGAGGAGAAAGTCGTACACCGCCGAAACGAAGCTCGAAGCGGTCAAATTTGCGAGGAAATTTGGAACGAACGCGGCTGCGATCGAATTTGAAGTCGCCGAACAGATGATTAACCGCTGGAAACAAGCTGAGCCGGCACTGATGACTTCACCAAAAAATAATCGAGCTTTCCGAGGATTGAGGACAAAATGGCCGGATGTGGAGAAAGATCTCGAACACTCGAAGCTGGCTGTGATTCCAGGAGGGCTAACTCGATTTCTACAACCGCTTGACATCAGCGTCAATAAGCCATTCAAGGACAATCTAAAGGCTCACTGGGGAGAATGGATGTCCGATAGCCGCGAAACGACCAATTTACCCTGTCGGGACGAAAAAAGAGAGCGAGCTACGAGACAGTTGCGGAATGGGTAAGGAAAAGTTTCGATGCGGTCCCCTCTTCTTGCATTATCAATGGATTTCGAAGAGCTTTGACGGATGAAACAGTTTCGAAGCTAAGCACAGAATTCTTTTTTATGTCGCTTTAATTGCTTTGAATTTCTTTTTGTTGGGTTTTTATACATTTTTATTGTTATATAAACTTTTATTATTGTTCTTGGAGCGCGGGATACTACAGGGTGACAGCCTATCACCATTGCTATTTGAGGCAGAGGGGCCAGAAGGGAAGGGCGGTCGCCCTCCGACGCAGGGGTCGGCGCGGGGTCGCGACTCCATGGCCCCCGGGCCCGCCCGCCATCGGGACACGGAGACAACAGCCAGAAATGGAGGGGTTCGCTAGGAAGGACATATTATTTTATGTGCATGGATACATCCAGACGATAGTGTTGAAGAAGACGCTGGAAAGCATCTCTTTCGACCGTCGACGTGGACTTTGGCCGGATGAAGAGGCCAGGGAGGGATCCATAAGACTGAGCACCGGAGAGGAGCAGGGCGGACGCGCTGAGCCACGCCCGGAGCAACAAATAACAGCATAAAATTGCTATAACCATCAATAAATTTACTTCTATTGTTCTTAAAAAGCAAAAAAGTTATGCTGCAGCGGGGTTCGAACCCTCGACACACCGTCAATTTCCATGACAGCCGTCAATTTGCATGCGAAAACCAGACAGAACTTATACTCGCGACTTTAGGGTAGTTTAAGGCTTGCAATTTAGTTGTGCTGACTAAGAGGTTATGGATTTGTTTGTTTGGATGGTTCGATGTTGATTAAAGCATTTTTGTGTGATTAAAGCATCAGTGATGGAGCATCAAATATGGAAGCATTTGGACGAAAGTTTGCTGCATGTAAGTGAAATTTTTGTTTTAAATTTAAAAATGTGTTTATAGGGTTCAGATGCACGTCTCATGCAATAAATCTGATTGCAAAACGCATTGTGGAGCTGTATCATTAAAATTGAGCTGAATGACGAGGGAAACTTAGCTCTACAATCATCTAGGCATCTGCAGAAAGCCTGTAAGCGGATCACGGGAATTTTAAACCGCCAGGCGCACGAGGTAATGTTCTTAGGTGATAACAAACTATTGAATTTTTAGAGTCTTGAGCAATTCGGAAAAAAGGAATGCTAGATTCACAAAGAAGCTTCGTTGTGTTTCTGAGAAAAGATGGCACTACTATGTGGATATGATAGGTTAGAGTATTCGTAGTTATAACTTTAAACTTTTTAGAGAATATTGTTGAAAGTTTGCCACAGCTGCAAGAAGTAAAAGATGATCGAAAGTTTGCACGCAAAAACAGGAATGCTAGATGATCTTGCTCTGATTTTTGAATAGCGAAGACCACCACAAGAAGCTGTTGCTTATCTATCGACTACTAAACTACTGTTTCAGGTAGTTAATGTTTTTTATAATACAGTCGACTCTCTATAACGGAATGAAAAGTGCCGTTATATATGTCGTAGCCGATTATGAATGAAATTTTTTGGCAAATCTTTCTAGTAGAGCAAGCCTTTAATGTATGAGGACAATATTATATCATCTTGTAGCGAATTCAATTCTGCGTCGATTGGTACCAAATTTGTGAGTTTAGGTTAAAAATTGCCGGCGCTACAACGTTTCATTCAACCGACCCCCGTGACCGATTATGAATGAGTGGATCTAGGAGCGTCCAACCATCAAGTATTTAGTATCATTCAACGCAGAATCATTAATAATTATGTTAAATTTTTAAAATTAGAAAGATTGGATAAAAAGGAAAAACATTATGGGGCTTCAAAGTTTTCTCTTGAACAAACCGTTTTTTTGCTCTAATTTTTTTTCTTTTTATCCAATCTTTCTAATTAAAAAAATTTAACATAATTATCAATGATTCTGCGTTGAATGATACTAAATACTTGATGGTTGGACGCTCCTAGACCCTACGACATAGACATTTAGAGTCGAAAATGTACCCACTTGACCATCGTTGGCTTTTTCATCCTGAAATGTTGCTCTTTCACCTCCTCGAACTCCTCAAATTCACGCCAGTTTCGCTCTCGAAACTCCTGCAAAAGCCTTTTATCATCTTAAATCATCTTAAATCATCTCATCTTTTATCATCGTTTTTATATAGCAAAACTTCTCCACACCTGCCATAAGCACTTGAGCACTTGAACGACGACGAGATCACCCGAATGGTTTGCCATCATTCGCAGAATGAAAACCTGAACTTGGTTCGAGTTTTCATCGCTTTCTCTCTTTGTTCTCGTATTCTTTTTCTTTACTCTTGCCGTATTTCTTGCCACAGTATGCCTAAATACTCCTAAGCCTGAACCTCAGCCTGAACCTCAGCCTGAGCCTCAGCCTGAGCCTCAGCCTGAGCCTCAGCCTGAGTCTCAGCCTCAGCCTCAGTCTCAGCCTGAGCCTCAGCCTCAGTCTCAGCCTCAGTCTCAGCCTGAGCCTGAGACTAAGCCTAAGCCTAATCCTAAACCTGAAGCCTCAAGCCTAAGCGTTTTAAGGCTAAGGCTTTTGGTTGGGTAAAACCCAACCAATAAAAGAGTTATTTGGGTTTGGTCTCAACCCGTTCCAATTACTGATCCAATACAAGTAATCATGGGGCTGAAATGTCCCAACTTGAACAGCCTCTTTGATCCGATAAAAGTACGGAAATCATAGGGCTGAAATGTCCCAATTTCCACCGTCGCCTCGATTCAATAAAAGTACAGAAATCAATTTGCAAGGATCCCCACTAGCCCAAACCCAAAAATAGAATCAATTTGTGGAATAAAGACTTAGTGCGAGGCTAGCGGCTAGTGCCTATGGCCTGTTGAACCCACAGCGCGTTTGGATCAACAACATAGGGGGTGGAACAATAAAAGGTGGCACTGAAAGCTACTCAAAATTTCTGTGAGTAATAAGGTAAATAATAATAACAATTAGTAATCAGAGAAATTAAGGATTGGAAAAATATTAGGTTGTCCCATAAAAAATTGCCCTTTTTTTCATTTGATTCCTATTCAGCGACAAATTAACACTTTTTCTTTCCCTTTTTTTTATTATACTAATTTAAAATTTTAGTTTCATGTGCTAAATTTTATTTTTTAGGAATCAAAAACAAAAAAAGTTGTGCTCGATCACATGACGCTGTCTCGTAAAGAAATCCATCAATAATCCATCAACGATATTTGAAGAGGATTTCCGCGGCCAAAGCAGCGAGAGAAATCAATTCTTTTATGGGCCAACAATCGTCAAGGAAAGGACTACACGATGATGGTTTCAGAAGTTCCGAAAAGGTGACAACCGGCTCACACGAAAGCGAGGAAGCGCTCGTCCCAGAAAAGTGAATCGACAGACGTTGTGGCGCCGAATTCAGCAAAATCCCGAAGTATCGACTCGGATTTTGGCACAAAGCTATTGCTGAAGAATGACAGTATGGCGTTGGCTCAAAAAAACCGGAAGAAAGTGGTTGAAACAGCGGCAAATTCCTATCTTTTGAAAAATTCGATTAAGGGCCAAAGAGCGCGGTCATGCCGTCAACTATTGAACGAATATCGACGCGGTCGGTTTCCTCTTTTCAATATTATGACTCATGATCAATCGTGGATATTCTATGATGGTCGAGCGTTGAAACGACAATGGTTGA